TAAAAAAAAGAAGGAAATACAAATTGAAACATTGTTTACTAATATCATTATGTTTATTGATACAAATTAAGGCATTGTGTTTTTTGGACCAAGAAATGATTTAGATGAAACTTGACAAAAAGAATTCAGTGTAGGAAAGCCCACTTGCTGACACAAACTTCTCTCGGTCTGCCTGCTCCAATTCAACAATGATTGTAATATGAAAATGCATTACATGAGATACACGTACTTTGCTGTAGAGTATGAACTCATTGAAGCTGATGGAGAAAGTGCGACATGCAGTGATGATAGTTGCACTCATTTGCTTCTTTTGCTACAAAGCTATAAATGCTGGAAGTGGTGCATCTTTATCGTTACTTTGAATATTGAAATATTTTGTACAACAACATTATTAGAGACATGGCCAGGAGTAGTTCAATGAAAAGATCAGCTGAGGCAGAATTGCTTATAATAGAACATAACTGTGTGGTTTATGTGCATAAAACATCAGGACATCTATTTATTTCTTTGTTGCTCACAATAACAGCACCAGCAAAATGCACATGTATACCATCTGGCAGCTATGATAACTACAGAGGCACACTAGCTGTCACAGCTGGACCATTTTTTTCTCTTAAAATGATGCATCAGAACCCTAGACAATTTACTATCAAGTTTTGACTTCTGCATTTCCCTTAGTGTCCAACTTCTACTCCAGTTAACATACCACAGCTGGGCTTTGAGGAGAACAAGAATAACGGGACGGACATTGATCACAGTAATGTCTCGCTTTCTCTCTCTCTTATATACGTACTTCCTACAATCAAAGAATAGAAGCTAATAATGGTTCATCAGGTTTCCAAGAGTCTTGTAATTTCTCTGATTTGTTTTCCCTTGGGGCTTTGGTACTGTAGGTTCAGACAGAAGATACATTATTTAATGTTACTTGCTACCGCTCTCATCACTCAGACTCGTTTTAATACCAGTAATATTGATATTTTAATTTATGCGTATGACATCACATTTTGTTTATTGATGGGAAAATAGCTAGATGTCCCATCTCCTTGAGACTGCATCTGCAGTGAATATACCAGTGACCAAACAGATAAGGCCAATAAAGAAATGTAAAATATGCCAGTTCATAGGTGTGTGCATGTCCTGGGAGATTTAGGCCCTCACCGCAAAATATTTGGAGATTTTATGGTATGAAGCAAGGAAGTGTACAGCATTCAATCGCTTTAACAGATACAAGCCAGCAGTGCATAACCAAGTACGTACATGTATGCTTACTTCATGGATTTTATTAACATGGACTGACTTACTATAAAACAGATAGGAGCCAATCTCAAGTTGCAGACTGAGAAACAGTGTGGCTTGCTTGTTTAAATAGCCGCATTGGAGCATCTCTTTGATGACTGACATGGCTATTTATTGCATTGACTTTCTGTAGGCAGGTTCCCCTCATCACGGAGGCTTGTTAGTTACCATAGCAACTTCGATGCTCGTGGTCTTCATCATGCGTGATGATGCAGGTGATGATCTCAATAAGACAGAGTTCACACACGGTGAATGATGTAGTCATGCTCATTTTGGTGCTTCCATCATTTTTTATGATTGTGCTTCTAGCAATTTCATAGCAGCGAGTTTCACTCAGAGACAGGGCTTGTTCAATGTTCAACGGGTCTTTTCCAATAACCTCAAGGCGAGGTAAGCTAAGGAGCAGGTGGAATGTATAGGATTTTAGTGTTGTTCACTTTCTGGTAGAGTCAAATTTATAGGACTGCAGTCTTTTTGGGAACAAACAAATGGAAGTAAAATGTTAGTTATTTAGAGAAATTATAATGTACATAATATTTTTTTAAAGTAAATTAAAGTAATTTTATAGTACCATTCTGTTTTCTGTGTTTTTCAGAGGGACTGGCACTCAGTGGTACCTGAACATTTTGAATGGTTGGTTATCTTAATGAAATTTCAGATTCTTCAGCCAATTTCATTCATATCTGGATTAAATATGTGGGTATAGAATTCCCAGAGGGATAGGGCATACATGTCCCCCCCTTTTTTTGACCGGGGACATTAGGCCATGGAATCATCCCTCCCATTTTTTGTGGTATGATGAAAATTAAGAAGTGTTCAGACTTCCCTACAACCAAAATGTACTCCAGAACACTCAAAAGGAAGAACAATCCGAACTCAGAAATAGCCATTCTGCATGATATCATACATCTTACAGATGTACATTTGTATCACGAACACCGCCCCCATACAATGTCATACAGTGTCAGTACCTCTCCCCCCAGCTTTTCAAATTTCCATCGCTGGGCAGGTCAATCCCCCCCGATTCCCCATCCCCAATTTCCGGCACAAACTACGCCACTGATGAAATAAATTACATTCATTTCTTGTTTGAAATTAATAATCAGCTTGTAGTATTTCTAATGCATAATCAACAAGGAAGTAATGAACAATTGTGAGAGACATACAATATTAAGTCTTCTGCTGAATGAATATTTTGTGCTTAGATCAAAGTAAAATGCACTACTAGTGTTGGAACAGTTGGTAATGCAAAAATTGTAAGAGTTGAAGAGCGCAATAATTTATTTACTAACCTTCCACCACAGGATTATCTTGCATCGGAGGCTTAGTCAGGCTTTTACTCTAATAATTGTCTTGAAGGTCATTGTCTTGAGTGCATTATATCCTGGGGAAGAGTATTTCTGCTGTGCTTGTAGAGAAGAACCTCACTTATTACCATAACCTAATTTGATCACAAAAAGTAGGAAAATTAGAACATGTCATCATCTTGTGAATATGTAGGAGTGACAGGTGTGACAATTGTTTCGACATGGGATCATTACTGCTGAAATTTACAACTAGTAATTAGTCAGTTGAATTAGTTATAAGTCTCTTAAGCTTCATGTCAATTCAGTTTTAGGAATGATGGTGTCCATTTAACATTTTCTTGTATTTTAATCTTTGTTGTCATACTACTGGCACCAGTGCCAGATGACCTTTTAATAAATGCCAGCATGGGCAACAGAGTACCAGCATGTACTCTTTTTGCTATGAGGAGTACTCATTTTATTTCTTGTTTTAATTCATTTTGGTTCAGGGATCAGCTAAACAGTCTGCACTCCCCTCCCACCCTTTCCATTGAGCAATGAAGTTGGGCAATTTCATTGAAGTAGCCATGGGAGTTACGCCTGTCACAAGTTTTTTGTTTTTGTGAGAGTTGATGCTTTGCGTAGTGGTCAGACAAACTTAAACATGATGTGAGAAACTCTACAAGGGAATGTTCTGAAAAGAGGTTCTTGTAATGACCACAGTGATTGATTTTATAGTTCTGAGCAACTACAGGTATTGATACCACTGGCTCTCTCAGAAAACCAAATATTTTTATTTTTAGTTTGGTCTCCTCAAAGCTGTCTTTGCAATCTTTTTTTTAAATTCTCTTTTTAAGTTTTCACTAAGACGGTAATACTGGGCGGAGGGCCCTGGAGTGCACGCACCTGACACCCTTTGATTTCACATCTCACATTCTTAGATAACACATGGCACGCTACTTCAAATATCAAGTGTGAAATACATTATACCTGGTGGGCAGCTGAAATAGGCCTATAAGACTGATTGAAAGAGAGGAAATGAGGCATGTACCAAAAGATTGTTTCCTTTCATGAATCCAAACTTTTAGTGGTCTTATGCGATAAAAAAGGATTACATTGAATCTGCAATGCTCTTATGCTGTGCCCCATGGGTGTTGCTCGACCATTAGGCCTATAAATGGGGGGGGGTGCCATCATGACATTTACTGATGGACTGTCGGCAAATTTCATGAGTGTGATGATACTCTGATTCCCAGACTCCCCTGACACTTACTCCCTTCCTTCCCCTTCTAGTACATTCTTGCCTACAGCACCATGATTTTGCCAACAAAACTGAATAATAGGAGGTCTGTGACACCCCCTCATCCTCTTTAGAGAGGCACACATTTTATACTGATAATCAGTACTCCTGTACCCAGGTATGTTAAGAGTACTGATGTCTGTGGTAGTGTTTAGATATTACATTAATTTTGCAATATCTGCAATGATCCAGAAAATTGCCCAGATTAAGTTTTTACCCAAGTGAGAATAAAACTGCCAATCAGCAACTCCCCCCAAAATTTCTGCTTCACTAGCATATTAACTCATTTGGGTTAATATGAACTTGAAACAATGAACTGACGAAACCTAATTGCGAGCTGTCACCCTCACTTGGGTTAAAATTTAACCAGGCAATTTTTCAGAGAAGAAATAAAGAGTCAGGGATATGACCAGGTTATAACAATGAGATATATTTACATGCATATACACAGTTCGGGAAATTGTGGCACAGGTAAGGTTTTTTCTTCCAATTAACTGGGATACTTGAAGGTTATATTTCATTATGACCAAATGCACATCAGAATGATTTTGAGGTTACAAGAGTAAACTACAAAAAATAATCAGCAGCGTTTACTCTGAATGTCCTTCAACTGGCGATTCTTTGAGGGCAATCTCCCAGTTGGAGTCAAACTTACCACCGAGTGAGTTATGATTGCAATGCCCGACTGCCACAGTTGTCAAGCTCGTGTGGATCTCTTGAGTGAAGGACCACATTTAGTTACCTTAATATAAATCATTTCAATTGGTTGCTGGATATGTAGAGTATTTGATACAGACCTCAGCTGGTTAGGAAGGAAGTAGGTTGCAATGAGATTTACAAGCTCAGATAGGAGATGAAATGTTCCTACATATTTCATTCTGGCGAGGTAATCTCTCAGAAACATTGTACTACATGTAGTAGTATGATGGGGGGGGGGCAGTATCCAGGAAGAACCCAACCCTCCAAAATATGTAATCAACTAATAATAAACAACAATCAAAATCTGGATATGAATATGTATGTTAACATCCCTCCCCCATTTTTCAAATTGTTGAAAATAATATTATTATATGATTAATGTGCCCTCTGAACTGAATGATTTAACCACAAGTTACTGCTTTTCTTGTTGGCATAGTAACGGGCAGGTATTTTATTCTTAGCTGGTAAACAATCCATTTGAAAACAGCAATGAGTGCAATAAATAGCCTACTTATATTTTAAGTACACTTGTTAAAATGCAGTAAAATACTTCCATGATTTTTTTGAAGTTGTCAATCACCACAGTTACAAAATTCCTTTGTACAAATTCAATTTAGAAGATGAATTTTAGTCTATTTCTACTATTGCCCCCAAAGTAAATGCCGTATGTACATTCCTTCATTAATTAACTGCCAAACATGCTTATGGCTGCAAGAAGTGACAGGAAAGCAGAGCAAAAGGAATGAGAAATCAAACAGCAAGTTAAGATCAGTGACTTATTTCTACATAATTCTCAGGTATAATTAAGACTTCTACGAAAAGCTTTCCTTTTTAGTAGTGACTTTATACATGTAAAATAGTGCAACTTAAAACCTGAGAAAAATGGGTAAAAGTTGTGACAATAAGTTTATATAAGCTGTCCAATCTCGATGGCACTACAATAGTTCATTAAAATCTATGATTTGCTTTCTGATTGGATGGGGTAAGTTAAAACTTAACTAAAGATATCTTCCACCATGATGTAAAATACAACAGTAAATTACATTACAAAATAATCAAGTTGATTGGCATAAATCCTTGCAAGTTGACTTAGTATTGTCATTACCACTAATTAAAATTCTTAAGCATTACCAACAATCCCCAAATCAAACACAAAGCAGAATAAATTCATGATGAAGATGGATTATAAGGACCATCAGTGATTATCTCTGAAATAATATGGTCAGGGTTAAAAAAGCAATTTGCAGTATGTTTGTAGCTGACTTCAATCAGCAGAGTGAATGGTAGACTGATGCAAAACAAATTGATGTAGTTGCAAAGAAAGTAAACTTAAAGAAGAATGTATCCTATAATCCACTCGTTGTTTCAGGAATAAAGTAGGATCATTTTACGGCTAAAGAGAGAGAGAGAGAGAGAGAAAGTGGATTTGTTTCATTCCATTCACAAAAAGGTCACGATTCAAAGCCATCAAAAGATTGTTTTCGAGGATGAAGTATGGATCTTCCTACAAATCATTTTAATTAAAAATTGGGATGGTCTTGGGTTTTACTTACTTGTGGAGTCACATCAAACATTTGCACAGTAAATTCCAGGAAGCACAATATGCTCCCATTCTGGCCAATTTTGCTATGAAAGTTTCGCGCTTCAATTAAAATGGCATATGATCCAGCTTCAAATACTACAAACAAATCAATCAAAACAAGTGCCATAAGCTGTGTTTGTTAGAAGGTCTGTGAAACATTGTAGGAAATAATTCATTTCAACATCTCTTAAGTAAGTTTTGTTGTTGTCACTGACCCAAATTTACTGCAATTGTTTAACACAGTAAAAGAATTCACAGAATTTATGAAAAATTAACAAATTCATCTGGTTGGGAAATTCTTCACAACAGCTGCTTCTACTCTCTGATAAATTCAAAGACATTTTAATTAGACATCTTGTTTATCTAACCAGCTATTTGTATTTAGCTATCTAACATAAGCGATCAAGCATATCCACGTGCGTCAAAAATTTAGTACATATAATTGTTAATAAACCAAGAGACAGAGATGAAGAGAGTTATGTCAGATGCCCATATATCGACAAAGCAGAGCTCACCATACAAGTGACGCTCTCTATTTGATGTCCTGTGTTCCTATTGGCTGATCATGCAAGCCCTATTAATGCACACACACACACCAATGACCACAGTTGCCAACACTCCATGAACCTGAGGAAATATGTTGACATCACATGCCTAACACACCGTGCATGGTGTGCATCCAACCAGGCATATGAGCTGCCATATTATCACAGGTAGCCTGCTGTAATTAGTGTCAGGACATCTAATTCTGTTGCCCAATCAGAGAGGTCACTGTGGCCGACACCCTAGGAGAAACTCCTTCAATAAAATTTAACATGTTTGTCACCAGTGAGGACTACCAAAGAAATCAACATAAAGAAAGTTCTCAGAGTAAATGGTAGAGAAAATTCTGAGGAATTCACTCCCCGTTTTCTTCAGGATGGTGTCTGTTTCTGTGATGTTACAAACTTATTTCATTCTCTTCATGAATGTTTAAGTATTACAAGGTTTCATCTTTCAGAATATCTCTGTAGTCAATGGATCTCGAGTCAGCAACCGAAAACAGGCGTCAAAAATAAAAATACTTTTAACAGTAAGTTATAAAATATAAATTTAAAAGCTGTGAAATGGTGAAATTTTAATTGAACTGAAATCTAAAATTCTAGATTAACAAAACACATGAAACTTACAATGATATATAAACAGTTGCCAATGTAGCAAACCCTCATATTTCAGCAAAAATATACAAAAAATAATAGTTTTGAAACAAAATCTTTTAAATTTCATTGCTTACACAACGCAAAAAACTTCTGAAAAAGAAATGAGTTGAAAAAAATGTTTTGCATTGAATAAATTTGGTATACATGTACATTTTGCTGGTTTCCTAGGAAGTGTTTTGAAGGCATTACAGAACTTCATTAGCAGGAATACCAGTAATTTTGGATGCGCAACCAAACCAACAAAATTCACATCCTTTTTTACAGTTTTCCCCTCATAGATCCATCTCCAAAACCAATTTTCCATGTAAATGTAACTACACAATACAACCCATACAATCTTGGAGATTGCCAAAAATGGCTTAATGGCCTGGTGATGACCAACAAATTTCGTCATTCCTCCTCTTACAGGTAGCTTGGCAAACTTAGACAGTCTTTAAAACATTGAAAGCAACTGGATGGTTTTATCCTAGGTGTAAATAAGACAGGAGAATCAACATTGAGGACATCAAATTCAATGTGTCAAGTTACACTTGTTATTCGTTTGCAGCTCACATTTCAAGGCCACCTGTCTGCTCTCTGTGACTCAATTATGCACATCGGTAACACCAAGGTGTCATTAATGGACACTGAAAATTTAATCTTTTGTGTCTGTTTATTTAGGGTATGGTATTCAAGCTATGCTACCATTTAGGATTGCACGCCAGCACTTCTTGGGATGCATGTGGTAGCTTGGAAACCTGACCATCAAAGAATCAGCGTCTTCTGGGATACACTAATGGCATGAAAGGCCAGAAGCAACTTGACAAAGTGATCACAGAACCCAAGTGATGCCATAGATACCATGCCTTCCCATACCATTAGGAGTATACCCATGTGGTTAAGAAGTAGATTGTTTCCCATGATAGTATGGCAACCATGCTATTGTTGATAATACTCAACACACCATGATTATGTACCTAACTGTCAAGTTGAATCTTTGTAAGCCATCAATACCTTCAGAAGTATTTATATATATGTGCTCATAGCATTTCTTAAATTGTTACCAACGGAACAAAAGACCCAATGAACCATGTCTTTATAATTCCATATTGATCTTTCTTGGCAGAGGTATAGTCAACTCAAGTACTCCCTACATGCACATTACACAGTGCTTGCCAAGTTCTTATTTCAAATGCATTCAGCTTGTCAGCTTGATGGAATTGGCCCAAGATAAAAACTCAATATTCAAGGGGCATTATACAAATTACCGGCATTATATAAATTACCTTCAGTACAGCAAGACCTGGAGAAAAGAAGAATTGATCAAATTACAGTAGCGTATTACAGCATCATTATCAATTTTACCGTGGCATGATGACTATGACAGTCGTGTTTTACAATATCTTTCAACAGTTTTATGTACATGTACATCAGCTATGCATGGTAGCTTACAAAGCAGTGGACGATTTCACAAAGTATTCCATAGTGAATAAAACAAATTCATCACTATATTATCGTTGGATTATGTGTAATTATTCAATGTATTTGCATACATTTGATTTGAAAGTGTCACAGTGTTAAAGCGTCAAATTTTTAAGACTACACATCGAGTTAAAAAGAGACTGAATGTAATCAACATGTAGCAATGCTTTATCAGTGTAAGTTTTCCTGCTAGCCATGATATAGAAAGATCAAGATGCAATGTAAATATTTCCACACCGCAAGTCCATCTGTTTGTCTAAAACATGCAGCAATTAATGGCTTGTAAAAGTGACATGCCAGTGTTCACGCTCAAAGATTTCTAAGACAGGCACATTGTGCGGTCGATTGCCTTCATGCATATATTCAACAATCAGGATCCTTGCTCTGTGTTGGAATTACTATAAACAAGGTCTCCCTGCAGATTAAAGCTTTCAGCTGCCGTGGCCTCACTCTCTGCAGCCCAGTCTGCTAGGAAGGTGTGTCCTGTTGGTGTGAAGGGAGACAGAGGACTGAGGGGAGATTTGCAATTATCTCCTGCACCAGATGGGCTAGGGAGTGGCCCGATACGTAGATTCTCCGTCTCTTTGGCTATCTCCTTCACTGAAGTCCCTCCCTCTGCCTTGGTTGGAAGGGGCGTGTCTTTGATATCCCAGCTCTCAGCCGTTGCTGGCTGCCACTGGCCAATTGGCGATTCTTGAAAGCTCTTTTCAGAGGCTTGCTGGGCTTGGTAAGTGTTCGCATCTGGTAAGGTCCGTATATCCATTTGTGACATTTCTCGATCACTTGGTCCTGATCTCCTGCCGGGTCGACTTCCTCCGCGGTCGTAACTTCCACGGCCTCGCCTGCCTTGATCCTGGCCTCGCCCACCTCTGCTGAAACCACGCCCACCTCCTCGTCCACTTCCACGCTGGTTATTATCATGCGTGAATCGACCACTGCCAATGCGATTGTTATGCTGGGGGCGCGTCTCTCCCGCACGATCATCATGCTCAAAGTGACTACCACCTGCTCTTTTCTCTATAGGGAGAGACAGATTTATTCATTATTTATTCAGTTTTGATCAAGGTCATCTAACTTTCATTACTCCTAGATTCTCTTCAATTCTGCATACCGGTCCACGTAAACAAAACATATATTTTGGCAGCTAAGCCATTATCAGTCTGATAGGGCTTGGTGTCTCAAGAGGTTTCAGGGAATTGTACAATATACATGTATTACTGTGCAGTGTTGGATTTTGGCACATTCAGAAAGGTTCAAGGAGAATGGAGAAGATTTAACATGATGTAATATCAAAAACCATGAAGTTCACAAGCATTTCATAAGTCAAAGCTCAGTGTCTGTGGTGCTGCCGGTCAACCCAACTTCATTATTTCCCGGAGATGGTGTTTCACTTTATAAATAATTCAATCAACTCCCAGAGGTTACTTGTGCCGGACACCTGAGCACCAACTTTTGATCAATTCCAACACCTACTGGGATGTGTCGACAAGCTGGAGCCTGGATATGTTAGACAGGAAAATGACAAGTCTAGAAAACGGTGAAGGGTGATGCATAATTCAGTAGGGACAGGTGCCGACCTCTTTCTGGAGCTGTAAATTGGGAAGGAGAAGGGCCAAGGGAGGTTGGGACACAGTCCCCACAATGAGCTATCTAGAGACCTATTTACAGATAAGGCTGACTAGATAAGGCCCTGCATACTTTGTACATGTAAGCAAGGCCAAACTTCATGGAGCTGGTCAGCAGCAAAATACTGCTTAGCAAATTGATGTGTTGAGCAAAAATCAGCTGGGAACCACTTACAAGCAATACATATGTTGCATGGATTTTTGGCTGGTAAACTTCATTGCTAAGTAAATGTTTTATGTGCTTTGCATATTTGTGACCCACCATCCCCAAACCAGACTGAAGTAGGTAACTTCATTTCCCTGAAATTCTACTTTTCATGTCTTCATGGAACTTTCACAGCTATTGCTATCCATATAAACCTTACTGCAGACAGAATTTAGACTTGACATAGATCACGTTGAAGTGTGAAAAAAAGATGAAGGAGAGAAATTGTCAAGCATCCCAGTTACCAACATGTACATATACGTCAGCCTGGTTTGGGGATGGTGGGTCACATTTCTGAAATTGGTACCAGCGCATGTGAGCAATTTGCTTCGGAATGTACACAAAACCACTGCATCATCTGAAAGAGTCTTTAAGTGTCTCTCAATGACATTTAATGTTTGCTCTTTTTTATATAGAATTAGTTATAGCAGAAGAATAGTTATGGTTTGGGTTTTGTAAAATTACGTAACAGTTCCACAAATTTCATTTAGTTACGGGTATGCGCTGTGTTACATAAGGTATCCGAGGTCAAAAGTGGCATGGACCATGCTAAATCAACAAGCCCATTAATTCAATCTGAATATCCAAAACAAGAACCATAAATTTCTTTTGGCTTCTCTTATGATAGTTTAAATGATGTGGACTTGTTTTGGGGCCCACCTCTCTGCTCTGTGCCTGCATCTGTTGCATCCCAGTGTCCAATGCTCATCTCTCCCTGGCTAGCCTGATGATCCCTACAAATAAACAACACAACAAAGAACATGGTGACCAAATAAATGGTCCACTACGTCAATTACCAGTACAGGTAATACCGAGGCTATTTTATCTAAGAGGATTAACGGGAACGACACTGACAACTGCCAATTCTCAGCAAAGATGGGATGCATCGTATGTTTGTTCAAATGAGCAGAAAACACATACAACGCATTTGGCCTTGACAGTCAATATTTTTCACAGCCCAAAAAATTCAGTTAAAATAACATATGTCAACATCGTCAAAGACAGTGGCTTACCAAAATATTGCATCAGTGCTTTCGACACATCGCCTTTGATCAGTGACCAAGACGGAAGGAAATGCAGGATTAATTTTAACCATGGCTTCACATGCTATTATGAGATATGAGTTTTGTCAGTCAAAACCATCTGTTGTTTTGTCGGCAGAAGGCGATGGCACTTTTCCAATTGCACGGCGTTTTACTTGACCAAAAGTCATTACACTCATATTGTCAGAGTTAAATACAATGTAAAAGCACTGGTTAATAAGCTTGAAAAGAAAGGCAAATAACAGACACAAAAATAAAAGTCCCTTGCAATCCTGGTCACTAAAATGGATTAAAATAGAAACTGTTGAGAAAGGGAGAGAATGTTACATTACAACTACTCTCTAGAGGTTTGTGAAGTAGTGACTCAGACCAAAGTTGCAGGGTACTTTTCTTGCTGACAATTCAAACAACTAGATGTAATCAAATAAACAGTGGAACTTGTCAGATAATGGAGCATTTGGTCACTGACTTGTTGCATCATTGCAATGCCATTAATGACGGAGTGAAATACTGAGTGCAAGATTTAACCTTTGTGTAGACAATAACGTCAGTAACAAATTGAAATTGTTGGTGTAATTTTCAATATTTCCAAAGTCTCATAACCACTTCCCTTTTAATGTTTAGTACTTTCCCCAACTGTACTGTACATGGTGTAGACCCCATGCTTCTATCCACATCAATAAATGCTCTATATTTTTCATAGCTCCATGAATATTGGTACCTAGTCCACAATAACTTAGACTATTGGAAGACAAGCTTACTCAGTTGCCTTGATATCTATATCCCAATCATCTGAAGGATTCCATCTCATTTCCTGGCGAGCTGCTGCCTGTTGATGGCGCCGTATTCTCTCTTGATCAATCTTCTCCCGTTCTCGTTTCCATTCTTCATATTCTTGTCTCTCTTTGCCCGTCATCGTGATGGTGGTCTCTGCATCTGGGTCAGGCTCCCTCTGGCCTTGGTTGGAACCCTGGAATTTAAAATTCAGTCAGAAAGTTGGACTGACATTTTAGAGCCAAAGCTTTCCTTTTCAAAATGTATATAAACATTCAAGACACTCCAAAATGAATCATAGTTTTCACTCAAAAAGTTAAAAGAACATCCAAGTTTGTGGGTGTGTGTGAGGATGTGCAGGCATGGCATACATAGTGTGGACCTCTACACAAAAGAAGTCAACATAATGTAGGGTGCAATGGCGGCGTGTGGACTCGCATATGTCCATACAATGTTTTCCCCTCTCTGAAAAACAGTTTCAGAGGTATTTTGGGGTCAAGGTCATCCGTGGCAAAATGAAGCGGAACACTCCAGAGAATCATCATCAAAAATCATCATCAAAAATCCAGCTCAAAGGAGTTATCCTAGTTGGAGAAAAAGGAGCATTTTCCTCAAGTTTCCTTAACCACAGGAGAACAAAGGAATGTCCACACTTTGTATGTAAAACAGGTATGTGTGTGTGTGCTGTGCACAAAATTGTTATCAGGAGATCTGCTTATGTTACCTGTGATTTACCCAAAATACAAATTTGCTTCATTTTGTTCGGATATGTGTCAATTAAATATCTAAAAACAGTTACATGTAAACAATAACCAACTACTTTGTAATTGAAAACATGACTGATTCTAGGCACATGTGCGTATGTTCACAATTTCAATGACAATGTAGTAAAACAAATCAGATCTATGGTACCAATGAAAAGCATGACTTTCTTTGGGAATTGGAGGTGAATAATCTAAGTTTTATTGGTTATTTCCATTTTGTTTTATTGCAGCTGATTATTCTTTGGACCAATCACTGTCAAGTCGGCCGCAGTGTTGGAATCAAGTCCACAACCTTCAAGGCCAAGGCCGAGTCTTTGCCATTCGAGGCCAAGACCGAAGCCACAGTCTCCATAGCCGAGGCCAAGGCCTGTTATTACTTATACACGTTTAACATAACTACTTTTGGCTCTGTTGACTGGCACGCAAGATTCATCTGGACCCAACACAAATAGCCCCAATTATTGTTGTCTAATAAAAGCAACCAAGGGCTGTGTTTCACTAATTAAATTACTTTCAGTTTTAACAATGTAAACAACCTGGTAAACAAACCTGAATGAGCTTGGACTTTCAACAAAGTAAGAGTACGGTCCCCCACCATCACAAAAAGAGAAAAATATAAACATTTCAATTGCTCTCAATACATACAATTCCCCACAAAATAATTTCTCAGTAATTCTGATTATGAAAACAAGATTGCAAGAAGGTAAGGCTTAAATGCAAGCTATAAATTCCCCCCCCCAAAAAAAAATCAAGACAGTTTACAAGACAGTTTTATAGTCGCACAATTGCTTAAAAAGTCCTGCCACCAAATACATTTGTGAGTGAATGGAGTGATATTTCAACAAAAATGAAAGAAAAAGTCAGGAGTACTTCCAAAAATGATATTCAGTCGTTTTCCTAGTTCCAGATGGCAAAAAAATTATTAAGTCAGATTACAGCTACAAGATATCCTCAAATTCTGGTGAGATGTAGTCAGCAGTCCGCCTTGTTTGTTGGAATACTACCAAATATTTTCAGTATCTTAGCTGGACTTAAAAGGATTGACAAAAGTGATGAGGACACTTTTTCTAGTTCTGGATTGGCTTAACCAATTCCAGATTGCGACAATATCTTCTTCACAAATAAAAAGTAACCTCGCGCAAAATCCAGTTTGCAGCCAGAACCATTGTAATCAGCTGATTTTCTAATGAAGAAGTTCTAAATTTAGAGAAAACTGTTTCACAAATAAGAATACCAATGAACTAAATTGTAGAGCTCGCATAAATTTGACTGGACTTTTTCAGCTCCCGTGATTTTTTAAAACGTTGAGAAAATGTAAAAGGGCGAATTGGAATGTTGGCCAAACTTTCTTTTCTCGAAATTTTCTAAGAAATGTTTGTACACCAAGAAGCTTACATTTCATCTTTTAAGCAGACCTTGTCTTGGAATGTAGAACTGAAGAACACCACCACAAGAGGTACATGAAGGTTTTTATTTCAAAGGATCCAGAACTAGGAAAAATCTGGAACTAGGAAAATGATTTTACATGTAATCTCTCTTTAAAAAGGACTAAAAATGGCACTTTATTCAAACCATGAATATACAGCATATAAAAAGACAGTCTGTGACCACCCCACCCTGTACACAGTGGCACACGCGAAGCTATCGCATGCAAATTGGTATGTTGACCGGCCATCGTACGTGCACGCCCAGTGCCAACCGTTTGGGAAATAACAGTGCACTTTCAAAGACTACACGTAACCTAATTCATGCAACACAAAAGCTATCCTTTTCATGAAGCAATCAATGAAAATAACAATGTTCCCAAGGAATAAAACTATTTAGCTGCATAGCGCCATTAGGGAGTAGACTCTAGGTACCATACCATGTGTTTGTACTCAAAATGATCCATGCACGTGCATGTCACAAGTACTTTGTCACAATAAAATTTTTTGGGGAATGTAAAAGCTGAGAAAACTGACTAAAAACGGGCGGCTTTGAACTGGCCTCAACTGATTCTTCGAGTCCAGAGGGTTCCGAGGCAAAGGCCAAGAGGGAGTTATTGGATAGCGGGGCCGAGGCCAATACTTTGAAAAACTGGCCTCAAGGCCGAGGCTGGTCTCGAGACCTCCAACACAACATTAGTTCTCTAAACACTGGTTAGTGGACACTACATGTACATATAAATTTGTGGTATGGAGCTAAGTGTTAACGTTTCTTTGACTATTAGACAAAGGCTTGATGCCAAGCTCTTCACAAGTGCTGCTAAACAAAAGGAGGAAAATAAATTTTATTTTCTATTCAGTCTACATAATTTAGTAGCTTAATCCCAAAACAGAGCAATCACACCAAAAAAATAACTCATTCAAGAAAATAGTCCAAGCAAATAACAAATGTCCAAACCAGAGACTGTTTAGTATATAGTACATGTACATGCATACCAATGGGTTAGATTTACAAGCTAGGGCCCCTGCTACATGTATGTGGCATTCAAGACATCAGGGCCCCTGACAGGTAGGTTCTTTTTATGGCACAATTCATGAATATTCATGACACGTACCAGCAGCAATATGAAAACCTTGCTTTCTTGATTCTCACAGGTACTTCATTGTATGAATGATGAACATCATTTTGTTGTTTTTCTTTCCACACCGAGAGATGTACCAGCAGGAATGCAGGAGTTTGTCTGAGGTCATTAGACATGCTTCAAAACACAAGAGGACAGTCCGTCTAGTCATAAGAATAGTTATGGTGGTGGGTGTAGGAAGCCATGTCTGAATCAAGTAGCTGGAAATGGGAAGAATCAGGGTGTCTTGGCAAGTGAATGCAGACACTAATCAGCTAGCAAAAAAACACTACTTTCTGGTCCATGTAATGTTTACAGCAATCTTAAGTTTTTGAGTATTTGTAATGCTGTGGCCGTAGGTTACTGATGTCACATCATCAGTTATGATTCTACCAAACAGGACTTGGGTAATGGGAGATACCTGGTCTCTCCTCATTAATTGCATCTAAGGGGAATGCAATATGCTGTTGCCCATGCATTTGAGTGGATAATTTGGGGAATATCCTTTGTACGTTTGGTTTGGCTTTGATGGTTAAACTCAAAGGTATGGTTCCTAGCCAGATTAAAGTCTACACCAAGAACTACAGCCCGTCATAATGACAAATCCTGTAGTTCTTAGGGTAATTAAAGTCAAGATTTGTTCTTTTGGGTGGAGTGGCCAATTATTCTTGGAGGACAACACCATTTCATACTCTGTATTTTAATGGCAATGCAGGTGTATCATAATGAACAGCCCATTTTGTTTGTGCTATTGTGCACTGTAGACGTTCTTCCACATCTTGAACAGGATTCAATTTGTGATATGTTTCAAAGACCATGAGCCTGCTGGTCATATGGCACAGTTACAAGGTCATAGAGGTTAGTTTCCACTGTCATGAATGTCACTCCTCATTCTCAAGTGGACTAAAATTGTATGTATCAAAATGTATGGTATATGCATGTACATGTAGCATATTCGGCAAAGCTATTCATATACATGTACGTTTTATAACCTAATGAAAGCAACTCACATGTGACAAAGTTGTGGTAAAAAGTTAGCTCTACTGTGACAACGAGGAATACATGTTAATATATTTTTTCCTAAAGCTAAAGCACACTACATGTGTATATGTACATGTATTCCCTATGAGCCCAACACCATACAATGCTATTCATATACATGTTTTATAACCTCATGAAAGCAACTCACATGTGACAAAGTTGTGGTAAAAAGTTAGCTCTACTGTGACAACGAGGAATAAATTTTAATATATTCTTTCCTAAAGATAAAGCACACTACATGTGTACATGTACATGTATTCCCTATAAGCCCAAC